TCAGTGCAGATATGCGTATACCTCGAGCGACGCAAGAGCCCAACGTGCTTACGCACTCAAGAAGGCGATATGAAGCTAACTAGAGCACAAAAGAATACCTCAGCGAGGCAGTGAACAGATGCGCTAACGCAGTCCGAACTCTTAGAGTCGGCGCCCGCGGCGTCTTATATAGGCGTCGCACCGAAATTTAAGTGCGAGCGACGGCCCCGGCTCGGCGCGCTGCCGCGTAGCGGCGGCGGCGTGAAGCCGTGGCGAGCGGTAGTCGCCCGCGCGCGGAACGCGCCTGGTGCACGGCCACCCGCCGCCCGCTATCCGTGCGGACGACAGCTACCGTACGGAACAGTATGATATTTCTATAAGGGTGGTATAAGTATAAATAAGACCGCAGAAGAAACAATAACACAAAATAAAAGACATAAAAATGACTCAGCTAATCTACCAACCATGGATGACATACAGAAATTATACAACTATTTAAAAGAAAAACGTATTGGATTATATACTGATCTTATCAAATCGTTTAATTATAATGTGTGGTTGGAATTATTAGGAATTACACTTATTTCCATACAAGTGTACAACAGAAGAAGAGCTGGCGAAATAGAGAAAGTTTTAGTGGAAGATTATAAACATTATAAATATGTTAGTAAACATACAGATCCAAAGACATATGATTTATTAAGCTGAAGCTGGAAAAAAGGTAAATATATAAACTATTCATTTTCTTAACGATCGTTAAATTATTCTTGTATTTAAATTAGAGTTGTCGATTAGTTTCTCAGTTTAAACTAATTTCAAAAGCAACGATTAACGGTTTCTTACTAACGCTGCACACTCAGCAACTTAGCAATCGATCGCGCGTCAAGAATTATTTCTCAGGAACGTTATATAAGGAATATAATAAGAGAGCACCATTTGCTAAATCGTTGTTAATATATTTTAATTATTACGTATAATGAAATATTACGTATTATGAAATAATAATTAATAGTTCATAATAAGTACGTAATAATTAAAATATTTTAACAACGACTTCGTAAAAGGAACACTTCTATAATATTTCTTATACATATACTGCTCGTAAAACATAATTCTTGACGTGTGATTAACTGCTCGGCTACTGAGTGCGCAGCGATAGTAAGGAAATGTTAGGCGTTGTTTCTGAAATCAATTCGAACTAGACTATTATCTGACAGCTCTAATTTCAAACACATTTTGCATGTAATTATTCATATTTCTCTCCCTTCATTATTTATATTTGTAAAACTTTACAAAATCACAGCTCCAATTATCTTGATTTTCAATTAATCGTTAAAAATACTTCCATCAGTGATATTACATTTTAAGCACGCACATATAAACATAAAATCTCGATATACAAGTTGCTCGGTAACTCAGAGACCATATTTAAAAGAGACATAAGGCTGATTGAAATAAACAAAAAATCTAATATCGTTGTAAAAAAATCGTAAAAATGACTGAGTTATGCATAAACAACAATCAAATAAATAAGCATGCTTCGCAGCGGTAGTAGGAGATGTGTTCGGTCGTTGAAGTTTGCAGCTCGAGGCAGGTCATCTAACAATAGTTGCCGGCGCGCGGCAAGAAGAAAGGAGAGTCGTCGGCCGGTGTTTCTGCTTTATAGCCATCGTACCATGTCAAAAGTCGTATTGATTAGAATTACGAAATTACTTCGTGCATCGTAATTCTTTAATAAGATCCAAAATAAATCGTAAATTCACACGATTTAGACGTTCAGTGATTATTTTGCATTACGGAATTATGATGCTTGAAGCAATCTCGTAATTCTAATCAATATGAATTTTAACGCGATACAATGGCCATAGAGAAGAAACAGCGGTGATCGGCGTTGCCTCCTTGCTGCGCGCCGGCAGCTATTACTAGGCAACCTGCTTTGAGCTGCAAGTTTCAACGACCGGACATGTCTCCTACTACGCTGCGACGTACGCTTATTTATCCATGCATAACTCGACTACTTTTATGATTTTTAAATGTGGTATTTGACTATTTTGTTTGTCTCAATTAACTCCATCGCCTTCTTTAAATATGGTCCTTGAGTTATCAAACACACTGTATAAACTAAATTCTTAAAAATACAACTAATAGAGAAAAAAAGTCAATGAGAACTGATCGTAGTTACTGGCAGATAATTTCTAACTAGAAAAGTCAAGCAATAATATAGAACAAAGCCAATGGTATGATTAGAAAAATTAATTATTCAATTTTAAGAGATGACGATATATATATATTAGGACCTTAACTTAGTTTCCGCCCGCAAATGTTAGA